ACACACACACACAAAACAAAAAGGAAAACATATGATTAAAATTATTTTTATTTCCTGTGTGGGTTCTGGAGCACCCACTGTGGAGGGAAAAAGGGGGGGGGGAGGGGCAGATAGACCCACTGCCACTTAACAAGCACATCATAAAATGTGACTAATAAAGGGTTTGCTAACATCAGATGCGTTGGGCGGAATTGTATAGATATTACAGCCCCGCTTCTCCCTGTGTGGGTTCAGAGGCTCCGATTTGGGGAAAAAGAATAGATTCACTAACCCCCCCCCCCCCCCCCCCCCCCCCCAACATGCATATCATAGGAGGTGACCAATTAGTGGTTTTTCCTTCAAAGTTAAAGTTGATCTGCCTGAGAGGCAAGGAACCAACAGTCTGTATACAAATAAGCCAGATCTGTAAAATGGATGTACATGCCAAACTCAAGTTCTGGAACAAGACCAAAGTCCAGGAGTGGACAAACAAACGAGTTTACAGCTGGTGATTGCTAAGAAGAAGAAGACAGCACAGTCACTCTTTTAAATGTGACTGCAAAAGAAGAAAAAATATCACCCACACACAAACATACAAACACACACATGCACACACATACACAAACACATAATTTAACACATAATTTCTTCTCCTTTTTCATTTTGTTCTTCTACTTCTACTTATTTTTTTTCTTTTTCTTCTTCTTTTTTCATCATCTTCTTCTTCTACTCCTACAGCATTCTGAGCCCTAGAGGTTGACTTCTGCAGATATCACCCACATCCATTCATCCTATTTCCAGATGATGGCTCCAAGTGTTTGTAGATCTGCCTGTATCTTATCTCTCCATATTATTCATGGTCTACCTAATCAGCTATTCCCACTCATCTCTTTCGTGTATGCAGTTTTGATTTTTGTTATCTGTCATTTTCCCTATATGTATATATGTATGTAGGTTTTACGCCACCAGGACATCACACAAAGTGATAAGCATCTGGTGACACAAAGTGCCACCATGTAGATGAGGATCACCCGTGAAGAGGTCCCAGAAACCCCTTCAGCCATTAGGTCATATTTCAGGCCTGGCTAAGTTTAGGGCTCCCGGCAAAAGCCAGGGTGGGGGCTTCAAAATAACAAATAATTGCATCCCACATGGGGATCAAGAGCTTTCCCCTATATGTACTAACCACTGCAATCTATTAGCCCTCACTATGCCAGCAATTAGTGGTGACTGAACAGATTATGCATTTTTTGGGGGTTATATATTCATAAGTAGGCTCTGTGGCTAAGTCAATGTGAACGCTTCGAAATACTGAGATGCCGGGTTCGATCCCAGCTGCGGGACATGTGCCTTGCCTTGGTTTCGACAGTGGTATCAAGAAAGCCAACCGTCCAGAAAGCAATGGCAAACTACTGGACATAAATTTGTCTAGAAAAATCACACAATGGCCAGGGGCTATTGGGGTTAGTTCTGCAACGTCCTGTAAAGGATACGCAACTAACCATATATTCATAAATAGATGTATAATATAAATCATTAACTTTGGCAGGTTGTAGTAGTAGTTGATGGTATTGTGGGAGAAGGAATAAATGTTAGAAACTTAGTGACAACTGGCAAGCTTGACATTAAAAAAAAAAAAAATTGCGAGAGGAAATAATCCAAAGGATAAATATCTGTATGTCTTGGTGACATGGATAGGGCAAGACAAAAGCACTGACCTGATCCATGATCCTGCTGATCATGTAAGATGGTGATCTGTGACCACCTACCTTATCTGAATGGCACACGATGATGATGGTAAGATTTCTGGTTTATATGATAATAAGGAATATAATAAAGATGACATAATAATGATGGTGATTTAACAGTTTCAAGCAAATAATGATTTACTTACACGGTGAGCAAGTCTTGGCAGCGCTGAGGTAGAAGGATGAATTGTCACAGAGACATCTTGTTCGTTCGTCCTTGCATGCGATGCACGTCATGTTTGCAGGACAAGTGTCAGTTGGTACAAGGCAATCCAGTCCTTGAACAGAGGTCAAATAAATATGGTTTTACTGTATGTTTTAGAAAATCTTATTTGTAGAAATTGCTGGATGTGTTGATTATATAGAATAGAAGATTAATCAGGTGCCATTTTCACCATGAAGGTTGGCTGCTATGGATCCCCAGCAATCTTTCCCTTGTTGTACACACTTTTAGACTGTTTTTGTTGTTGTTGTTGTTGTTGCTCATCCTCCCACATGTATTGCTGTCTAACTTCTGCTTTGAAGATGCAAAAAGCCAGTTAACACATTACAAGAAGGTTGGGAGAGAGCCAAGCACACACCATATAGGACGATGCCGGGGGCAATGCATCCATGTTGCTGCTAGGAACAAGAAGACTGTGAGTAATAGCCAGTCACAAGAGGCATACTAGATATACAAACAGTCTTATCAACCAGCATAGAACTGCCACTATTAGCCGTGGTTTAGGACGATAGGGGGATTCTGGGGACAGTGAATCCACATCACTGCTAAGTTCATGAGAACTGTGAGTAAGGACTGGCATAGCTGGTCACGGGAGGCTTACTAATATTACAAGAAACAAGTACAGAACTGGCACTATTAGCCATGGTATACTGACATACATCTTTTTCTTCTTCTTCACATTCACCAGCTGTAAACTCCAGTGGAAAGTTCCCGTTGTTCGTCACTTGTGGACTAAAGGGTCTTGTTCTAGAAACTGGAGTTTTGTGTGCATTTGCATTTAACACATTTGGCATATTTGTATGCAGACTGTTGGTTCCTCATATTTCAGGCAGATGCTCTTTGATTTTGAACTAAACACTTCTAATTAGTCACTTTTTATTAAATGCTTGCTGGAAGGAGGTGGAGAAGATGTGGGTTCTATTTTCCCCCCAAAATGTGCCCCAGACTATTTTCCCCCTAAAATGTGCCCCAGAACTCATCAGGGACATTTATATGTTAAAGGGAGAATCTGAGAACCTATAAATGTGTCCAGAAGCCATGAGGATAACACAACTCATACCATACAGGAACCGTAACTAAAAGAGTTTAAACTGACCAAGGCTCCCTGGTTGACCCATTCTAAAAATTGATACCAAAATATTTTTTGGAAGTAACGTCAGCTGGTATGATATTGACAACATTGTCCATTGTTTCAAAACAAGATGCCAATGAGCCAGTGCACTTATAACTAACTGACGCCATTATTAAAACATTTAAACATAATATGGTTGCCAAGAAATGGATTATAAACAGTATTCATACTAACACTGTGCTACCGGTGACAGACTGAAACATTATCAAAAGCTAACTCACATAGAATTGAACATCTGTGAAATGAGATGTTTGAGAAAAGCAACCATTTTAACCATACAAGACAAAGTGAGAAATGATACTATCTGACAGACTGCGTGAATATCATTTTGCACCAGAAACAGAAGATCAGATGGTTTGGCCATCTCATCAAAATACAGCCACAACTACTACTAGCACTACACATGAAAAGATCTGATATGAAAACAAGAAGTTGCTCTAGGATAAACTGACCGATGACATTAAAGACCTTCTATTTCAACATGGAATGACCATAGTCAGTGCTACACACCAAGCAATGGGTCGCAAACTGTTCCTTTCTACGATGCTTAACGGCAAAAGTGGAACTTGAAGATGATGAGGATGCCAAAAGAGTGCCAATTAACTTATAAAAACATGGGGTCACTAACATATGTCTAGTATACTGGGGCATAGAAATGTGTAATTTATTTATTCTTTTTCTTCTTTTCTTCTTAATGGTCGACGTTTGGTGCAGGAGAGCCTAGCATATCATACCACAATATCCAGCTTAAGAATGGAGGTGGAGGCGGTCACTCCTGCTTTCTGCTGGTTAGAGAACATGACGCATGCACGCATGCACGCACACACGCACGCGCACACACACACACACACACAGACACACACTGTGATTGTAACTGACTCAGCATGCTGAAGAATATCAGGACAGTCATGCTTCGTGCAGAGTGGCATGCCTCACTGCAGATGATGCGGGTGAGGAGCATTGTCTGGATTTTTTCACCGGGGGACACCGGTGTGTTGGGAAATGAACAGGTGGACAGACTGGCTGGCTCTGCACAACTTGGTGGAATACTGATGCATAATAAGGCAGATGTGGTTAGTGCCTTGTGGGAGAGCGTGTACAGTTTGAAGGAGCAGATGGATCACCACAGTCTGGTGAGATTGATGCAGGGGGGTATGAGGAGAGGTTCTGGCAGATGCTCAAGGCTCAGAGGAAAGGCAAGACGGACAGTTAATCAGAATGCTACTGGCACCATTAGTATCGGAACTCTTTGCTGGGTGCTGAAGATGGGAACGGGGCACTTATGGGAATGCCCTGAGTGCTGTGATGTCAGTTCTTGAATCAAATCAAATCAAATATTTTTCCTTCTTCTACTTCTGCTGTTTCCATCCTTAGGAGGGTGGCTGACATGCTGCGGTTTACAGCTAGACTGTGATGTCTGTACCTTTCAGCCCACACATATTTCAGCAAACCCCTAAATAACTACTTTTTTTTAAAGTCCTGTTAAGAGGCAGTTTTAAATACAACATAAATTATGACTAGAAAATCAATTAAGGGAATGGAAAAGATGTGTATAAATGCAACTGAATGTTTCTAAAGCAGTCTTTAGCAACGGAGTAATAAATACAGCACAAACTAGTCCATTCTCTTCATGTCTTTTCATTCCCTCCATTCCACTTTCTAGTCATAATTTATGTAGTATTAATTGTATCAAGTACTTCTTGATACCAGCTCGACTACACTCACTTCTATTTACGCCGTCATTTTTCCTATTTAGGTCATCAGTTTAGTACTTAACTCTTTCAGCCAAAACACAAGCTAAACACAGTGGGTCTGAAAGAGTTAAGGGACAGTGAGTCACCCCCCTCCCCCCCCCCCCCCAAAAAAAAAAGAGTCCTGAAGCCCTCGGTGAGAAAGGTAATTTATTTTATTTACCTACCTTCAAAATATGGGGTCACTGTGACACGGTAGGGTTTGTACAGGTGGGAAGCATTAGTCAAGTTATAAACATCATTGTTGAGGGTTTCTAAAATTGACGTCTCTGATATAGTGCTGAAGGTTGTCACATGTAACTGCAGCACAATCCTGTATGACATATTGCCTTGGGGACTGTGGATTTTTAAAAAAAAAAAATAATCTTTTAAAATATTAAACGAGCAAAAAACAAAAATTAAGAAAATAATAATATCTGTAACATTATGTTTTCCAGTTTAATTATTCTTTTATTTGTTAGACCCTTTTCCCACCTCTGGCACACTTTGCATTAAAATCTATCAATACTTTCAAGGACATTACCTGGTACCCATTTTAGGTCCAGTCAATCTGGAAGCCACAATCCATTTTTTTTTCCAGCCATGACACCGATTTTAACTACGGAACTTCAGGCTAGTAGGTGAGCATCCCACCACCATACTAACACAGCTTTGACAGCTTCAACATGCCAAACAATTCTTGACTGACTGTCTACACCTGTTGCCATTTTTCTATTTTTCCAGACGATAGTGTTTCATTAGGTTTGCCATAGGCAGGCCTTTAAATCACAGCCCATGGCGATGGTGAGCGAGAACAGCTCATGTTATACAAAGTTTTTCATAATCAGAGCATGGGTTTTATGGACCACTGTTGCCATTGCAAGCATTTAATTTTTCTTTTTCAGACAGTTCTTAATATATCTAAAATCATTTGTTCCTTCGTTCCCTTCTATTTCTGATTTCCTCCCTCCACACAGATTGGTCCCTGGTATTTTGTTCCTATGGATCTGCACCAATACCTGTATCCTCATGTCCCATTTGCAAACATTTTTATATTACAGTCTGTCTACACCTAGTTTCACTGAACAGTTTATGGTCGACTTTGTACCTTCTAAGAAAACTAAAAAGAAAGCCATCAATGGACAGACAAATATAGGAGGCAGCTATGCAAGAAATACATGAAAACTGTAAACTTCTTCTTCTTTTGCTCTTTTTCTTCAGCATTCCGAGCCCTTGAGGTTTATTGCTGCAAATATCACCAGCCTCCATTCATCTCTCTGGTTGGCTTTCTCTTTCCAGTTTGTGACACCAAGTGTTTGGAGGTCTGTCTGGACATTATCTCCCCATCTTCTTCTTGGTCTGCCTCATAGTCTACAACCATTCAACTCCCTCGTTTATACAGTTTTTACTTCTCTGACATTCTTTTGATATGCCATAACCATTTCAGTCTATTAGCTCTCATGATGCCAGTGATCCGTGGTGATTTAAACAGATTATAAATTTCATTATTGCTTCTCACACTCCATTCCCCACTGTTTGCATCTTTGATGAATCCAAAGATTCGTTGTAAAACCCTGTTTTTTAAAACTTGCAATAAGGCTTCATCTCTTTTAGTTGTGCTCCAAGTTTCAGAGCCATACAGAACGACTGGTCTTATCAACGTTTTATATATTTTGATCTTGGTGTTGCCAGACAGACACTTTGAATTTAGCAGATGATGAAGGGCATAGTATACTTTATTTAAAGCACCCAAGAGAACGGTAAACTGCTAAAATAAACTGGACATAGACAGTAAAGAATTTTTTGACCTGTTATCCAGAAAAACAAACTAGAAAAGAGTCAAGAGGAGTCAAGTGACACAAGGGTAACTAGGTAGATGGCTAACAAGAACATAGACCTGATTCAAGACTCAGGTAATTTTTGAGTTGGAAGGATTGTCCATTCTGATTCTATACATGGGGGTATTTGTGGCAAAGGGTTCAATTCGAATGCCTCACATTTTGAAGGTTGTGGGTTTGTTTCACAGATGCATAATTCATTTCACCACTGCACTTTTTATGGAATATGATGGAATGATAGGAAAACAAATGAGGCTGTCCTTCTCGGGAGGGATGGAAGTCATAAACTTATTATACAAATCAGGCAGTGTGTTGTTTTTTTCCCCCCAAAGATATGTTATAAGAAGAAATGGATTTAAAAACTTGGTAATGACTGGCAAGATTGATGGAAAGAGAGCAAAGGGAACACAAAGAGATACATATCTGCATGGCCTAGCCACATGTATAGGCGAAGACAAGAACATTGACCTGATCTGTTGTTCTAGTGATCATATGATATGAGAAACATGACAGTCTACACTTATCAATGCTACACATTATAACAATGAAGCTTCTAACTAATTCAACATACCTCAGAAAAAGCCTATTTTATGTTATAGAAGGCCAGGAAGGCCCAGGCTATCAATCTTATTTCAAGTTTATCAGACAATGTGCTATAGATAACATTTGACATTTTTTCTTGATGGATTCTGTGCTATTTTCAGCATCTCTACTCATTTGTGCATGTAACCGTTTTTAAATGTTTTACATGCAAATGCAACATTCAAAATTAAAACAGCTTCTTATGTTATAAGAGACAGTGACAGGCAGTCAAAGATGAAAGCAGATGGCAGAGAGAGAGAGAGAAAGAGAGAGAGGCAGAGACAGAGAGATAGCTAAATACTTACACTATTGCATATAAGTTTCCATCTATTCCTCCCACAATGCCGTCAAAAGCTGACCTAATCTGGAATATGAACAATCAAAAAGTTTCCTGAATGGTTCAGAAAACTGGGCTCTCATCTGGGAGACTAAGATTCGAATCCTGGATAAGGTCAGTTTTTCTTTCAGGAGCAAACACATCTGTTTTACAACTTTGATTTTTATGTTTGCAGACTGTTGGTTCCTTGCCTCTCAGGCAAATGCACCCTGACTTCTAAGGAAAACCCTCTAATCACCTTTTATGACACACTTGTTAGGTCTATTCTCCTCTCCCCCCCCACCCCCCCCCCCCCCCCCAATGGAGCCTTGAAACACACACCAGAACTGCAAAAGTGGTAAATGCAGGCAGTATGGACAGTTATGAGAAATAGAGTGTTTATATGTATGTGACTGTATATGAATTGAAGTGGGTTTGAACAGACTGAAGTGGATGAGTATGGAAGGAAGTGGGTGTGATTTGGTATCGGTCTGTGGATACAAGTAAGTTTGCAGGGTTGTCTGTTTATGGATAAGAGTGGGTGTTCATGGATGTATATATGTGAGGGTGCATGACTGTGTACGTGAGGGTATGCATTTGTGTACATGTACCGGCATGCAGGGATGTCTGTGTGTACATGTGAGTCATCAGTGGGTGTCTCTGCTATGAAAAGGTAAATTAGTTCACATTAGTTCTCATGCTTTGTATGTCATTTGGTTCATGAAAGCCACTGTTCAGAGAAGCCTGGGAATCATTTTTGTACTGGCCAGTCACTCTCTTGAGAGAGACTGAGCCCTGTGTGATAAAATCACAGTTCTAACTTCACAGCAGATGGGTCACCCCATAGCTGCTCTGCTCCTATGTCACTAAAAACTACACAGAATTTATATCACTGTCCTTTGTGAGAAAGATTTACACAGACTGCAGTCTAAATAAATCCAGTGGCATGCAATTGCATTAAAGGCACACGGCAGTCATCAGAAGTGCCGACACAACTATCTGACACTAGAAATGCAGTTCGTCAATGACGGAAGCTACAACAACAGTAGTACAGTAATTGCAAACATGATTTATCACACAAGGCACCATCAATTTGGAGGCGACAAGCCACTTGCCATTTTCTGAATCTGCAATTCATGACATAAACCAAATAAAATCCACAGCTCACAGTGTCATGCCATGCACTCAGATCAGTAGCTAGGCAATAAAACCATATCCTTTCAGACTACATATGGATGAAACTGCAATAGCCAACTTTTGTCAAAAGCAAAAACTTGCCATGGCTAAAAGAGTAAAACTATATATACAGTAAAACTATATATCCTCCATATTGACCCGACACTCTCACATGTACACACAGACATTCATGCACATCCACACATGTACACACAGACATCCATGCATATCCACACATGTACACACAGACATCCATGCACATCCACACATGTACACACAGCCATTCATGCACATCCACACATGTACACACAGCCATTCATGCACATCCACACATGTACACACATACATTCATGCACATCCACACATGTACAAACAGACATTCATGCACATCCACACATGTACACACAGACATCCATGCACATCCACACATGTACACACAGACATCCATGCACATCCACACATGTACACACAGACATCCATGCACATTCACACATGTACACACAGACATCCATGCACATCCACACATGTACACACATACATTCATGCACATCCACACATGTACACACATACATCCATGCACATCCCCACATGTACACACAGTCATCCATGCACAGCCACACATGTACACACAGACATCCATGCACATCCACACATGTACACACAGACATGCACATTCACACATGTACACACAGACATTCATGCACATCCACACATGTACATTCATACATCCATGCACATCCACACATGTACACACAGTCATCCATGCACAGCCACACATGTACACACAGACATCCATGCACATCCACACATGTACACACAGACATGCACATTCACACATGTACACACAGACATTCATGCACATCCACACATGTACACACAGACATCCATGCACATCCACACATGTACACACATACATCCATGCACATCCACACATGTACACACAGACATCCATGCACATCCACACATGTACACACATACATCCATGCACATCCACACATGTACACACAGACATCCATGCACATCCACACATGTACACACATGAGATTTATCACCAGAACACTGGCTAACTGAGAGACGTCCCGCAAGTGTCACACTATAAAAACGGAACATGTGGGTCAACAATAGAACTGAACGGTTTCAAAAGATTGTAATGCTAGGAAAAAGAAGAGAAAGACAAAATGTTAGAGGCTCGCACACTGAACTATAGGCATCCGGGCCATCCCATTCTCTGCGTGGTATTTCCAGCGGCCTGTAAAGGCTACTTGCCTGCTGCTACCTGTGTGAGAGAGGGAGGACAATAGATTTTACACTGGTGTAATGTGGAACATGAAACATGAACATTAGCCATCAACCAATATACGTTCCATTTCCTTGGACGCCTAGATGCCATTTAACGGAGCAACATTTGTTCTGACGCGGGCGGGTTCGCGAATGGAAGAAGAAATAATTACAGACATTTGCAGGTCTCTTGTACAAATAGTTCCCCCTTTATCTCATCAGGCTACACACACACGAAGGCAGTTATGTCGTACAGGGGCGACACCGTGTTGATGGGCGTTATGTCCCTGGCCCCTTCCCCAGCACGAAGGCACCACTGGGGTGACCGTTAATAAACCCTCACTATTAAAAAAAAATTTTAATATGGTAGACAATTTTGATGAACTAGATCCTCGCCAGAGCTACGGATTTCGTGCCTCCGTGCTGAGATCCGATGCAGCAGCATCAACAATGTACAGAAGGAGAAGAGGACAACATGGTAGAAAACGGCGCAATAGACGTGCTGGTGCACGCAAAAACCAATCTAAATCAGATCGCCTTGGCAAGGGAAATCTCTGCATTCTTTGCTGGAACTGCAGGAGTGTTCGACAGAGAGGCCCAATCCTGGAGAAACTGATATATGATGCTGATTTAATCGCACTTCAGGAGACCCGGCTGAATACAGAAGAATATCTGAATGTCTCAGGCTTCCAAACGTACTACAAAAGCAAACACATAGGCCAAGCAATCCTGGTCAGGCGCGGAATAACATCCTCAGTTGTAGACACGAGTGCATGGAACAACAGTGACATTCAGGTTCAGGCCGTAAAAGTAGACGGGAGTAAACCTTTCACGCTAATCAACATCTATGCCTGTAATGATAAAGTTGACAAAGAAAAGTGGACAATTTTAAGTGACATGTGCAAGCAGATAATGACCGTCATCATTATGTGTGGGGACTTCAACGCCAAAGGTCGTCTATGGGGCAATCCGATGGTCAATAAACAGGGCGAGGCATTGGAGGAAGCTTTAACAGACACGGATTTAATCTGCTTGAATGATGGCAGACCCACCAGAATCCCAGACAGAGAAGGTGATATTGACAGTGCCCTTGATCTCACACTGGTCTCTCCCAGTATGAGTGCACTTTGCCAGTGGGGCGTACTGCAACATCATGGAAGCGTGACATAGGAGTTAAGCTTGGTGATGCACGTCTTTGCCATTTTCGGGGACGAGAAAGGAGACGATGTAACCAGCTTCTCATGGGGACAATTAGTAGAAGTACTTTGGAGTGGCTGCTGCTTCGGAGAACTGAGCACGCATGGGTATGCCCAATGTGCAGTGACATTAAGTGTGATAACAAAACATAAAATAACATCTTGTAGGGAGTCGGCAGTCCGAAACCCTAGTTCAAGGTGTTTCCTTCGTGCCAAAGAACTGCATGGCTGTTGGGTGACGTTAACGAAGGCAGGCAGGTCGTTGTAGGGGCGACGCCTGCTGGTAGATGTAATGTCCTGTCCCTTCCCCAGCTAATAATGAGGGTTCAGCTGGGGTGACCATTTATTAACCCTCATATAATGCTTCAGGTCAAAATGGACGCTAGGCACGACCACCTTTTTTCCCCCTGCCAGACGGTGGTCGTTGCATTTTTGCTCCATTTGTAGACTGGAAGGATATAGTTTCGTCGCCCAGCTTCTGAGTTGAGTGCATGGCGTGACACTGTGAGCTACGTGTATTTTTCGCTGGCACAGGAGCGGAGCAACTATGGGGTGACCCGATTGCTATGAAGCTGAAACTAGGATTACCAGATTACACATGCCTACCCACACATGTACACACATGCATGCTCACACATGTACACACATGAACACCCACTCTTATCCAGGATCAAACCTGGTGCAATGAAGTCAGAGCTTGACTTTAATGTGCACATCTGGTTGACTGACTGGGCTTATTTGTATGCAGACCATTGGTTAGTTGCCTCTCAGGCAGATGCACTCTCAATTTAAATGAAACACCTTTAATTAGTCACCTCATGTGGCATGATTGTTAAGAGTGCTATGGGTCTATTTTTTATTTCCAAAAGAATAGGGCCTCAGAATCCATAAGGGGAAATTTATATAACATAACTATTGTGATCATCCCTTTTGACATGGGCTGTCATTAAAGACAGAAGATCAACAAATCTCACCTGTTGACTGCTATTACTGGTAAACTGGTTCATCATCTCAGTGTTTTCTGTCTTTACATAAAAACTCAGATAAAAGGTTAAATCCTTTGTCCGTCCTGTGGAGGTAAGAAAATCGTGAAAGCTTTTTAATTCGAACATCATATTTAGGAACGCACAAGCATAATGACCTGGGAGAGAAAGATTTCTGACATGAGAAAATTGTCTAAGGAATGAACTTGAGGAAAGGAGACCACTTATGCTACTTAGGAATGTATAATAAAATCATGAGTGCTGAACTAACTTTAATATTCCAAACTTCTTTACTTACTCTTTTACTTTTACGGGTGTCAAGTAAGATATAAGGTTCTGCTTCTAGCTCTTCTGGCCACCTTAACCACAGACACATTGTCCTAATGTAGAGTTTTTCTGATCTTATTTTTCCATGTTTCTTGGTTTATATCATGCTCTGGGTCCCTTTCTTCTTTTGGTGATTGCCATGTATAGTATAACATCACTAAGCATTCTCTCTAAACAGGCAGACCATTTAATCACTGTCCTCCCTGCCTCCTCCTCCCTCCCTCCCTTCTTCCTTCCTTCCTCCCTCCCTCTTTCTCCCTCCCTCCCTCTTTCTCCCTCCCTCCTTCTTCATCCCTCCCTCTTCCTCCTTCTTCTTCTCCTTCTTCTTCTTCTTTTTCTTCTTTAACTTCTATTATTTTTTTTTTGGGTGTGTATCTTATCTTCTGTTTCTTCTTCTTTAAGTCCTTTTCTCCTCCTTCCTTTTCCTAATCTATACATAATATTTAAGGGATGTTTCTCTAACGTTCAAGTAAATACTTACCCCCGATAGACTCAGTGCCACAAGTAGGGTCTTTACAGCAGAAATTACAAGCCACAGATTTATTGGTCTGGAAATTGAAGCCACATGTATTTCTGTTGTTAACCTCCTGACCCAGACAATTTTCATAAGAAATACATCCACTGGACAGTGCCATTTTGTTTGAGGATGGGTCCCACGTAACAGTCTTGTGACAAACTGGCTGAAGAAGCTGTAAATATATAATTTTTTTAGGAGAGCAAAGTAACCTTCAACACATGAAACAGTTTTTCACAAAACTCTTCTTTTTACACTATGAAACAGTTTCTCAGAAACTTTATCAGTTTGAAACAGTTTATCATAACATTTAAAAATATGAAACACATTCTCACAACATTTAAGAATGTGAAACACCTTCTCAAAATATTCAATAGGATGAAAGCATCTCACATCTCAATATTAAAGTTATGAAATAAAACAAAGAGTGTTCAGGTTTTTGTAAGAACTACATCCTGGATCAGCCAGACTACAAACCACAAACCACAAGTTAGTTGTGTATCCTTTATATGGCATTGTAGAACCAACTCCAGCATTTTTCAGCTGTCTGTGATTTTTACTAGAAAATTTTACATTTAGTAGTTTGCCATTGCTCACTGTATGGTCAGCTCCTGATACTATTTTGAAAATTAATGCAAAAAGGTCTGCTGCCAATTCACAAACAGCTTGAAGGAGGAATAGATGATGTAGTGACAGTGATGGTGAGACAGCAGTATATGAAGAAGGTGGAGGAGAAGAAAGAGGGGGAGACAATGAAATAGTAATCGTGATAATAAAAAAGCCAAATGAAGAGGAGGAGGAAGGTGGAGGTGTAGGAAAAGAAAAGAAAGAAGAATATGAGAAGGGGAGGAGAAGGAAAGGGAGGAGAAGAAGAAGAAGAACTAAACATACCACAGTGGGACAAACTGACGGTCCTTGCAAGTTGCATTTGTTGTTGGTGTCCACATTCACGCAGATTGGGCACAAGGTTTCACCGCTGAAAATACCATCTGTACTGGCTGTTGATGAGCATACACACACAAAAAGTAAAACTTTTTCAGACACATACTGTATGGCTGTGACAGAAGGATTTTATGAGTTTAGGTTTGTAAGTCTTTTTCTTGCGTTTACCATCATTTACCATTTCATAACAAAGTCAATCGTTCCATGTTTTGGTTTAATGTTTAGAGAAGTGGGTGAAGCCTCACTAGGACCACACACTAAGCAGTTTACATCCCCTGGTGCAAAATACAAAGTGTCACTATTCAGATGAGAACCCACCCAGGTTACAAATCTAAGAAATCAAGTTCAACTGCAAAGCTATTTTGATGCCCCTGATAGTTACAAAGTAATCTAGACAGGGTCAGTATATTTTGATGCCCCTGATAGGTACAAAGTAATCTAGACAGGGTCAGTATATGGAAAGTACAGTAAATAAGGCATGAGGCGTGGTTGACCAAGTGGTTAGAGTGCTCAGTTCTCATAAGGGAGACCAAGGTTCAAATCTTCAATAAGGAGATGAATGTTTTTCCTGACATATAACTGACATATAATTCTAACCCGCACAGTTTGTGGTGACTGCACTAGCTATGCGGCTCTAAACTCCAGCTCCAAACTCCTTTGTAACACTGCCATAAAAACTGGTACTAGAGGCAGTGAGGACAAAGTATATCCAACTATATTTTCAGTGCAACTGGTAAACATGCAATTATACTGTACAGCAGGTCAGTTCAACTAGGTTTATGCAGGGGCCAAAGGTTTGAAAATAGACTTGCTCATGTTTGACTGATGATTGTAGACTTGATAATGTTTGACTGATGATTGTAGACTTGCTTATGTTCGACTGATGATTGTAGACTTGTTCATGTTTCACTGATGACTGTAGACTTGTTCATGTTTGACTGATGATTGTAGACTTGTTCATGTTTGACTGATGATTGTAGACTTGCTCATGTTTGACTGATGATTGTAGACTTGTTCATGTTTGACAGATGATTGTAAACTTGCTCATGTTTGATTAAAGATTAGAGATGTTCATGACTGACTGATGATTGTAGACTTGTTTATGATTACCTGATGATTGTAGACTTGTTGATGATTGACTGATGATTGTAGACTCGCTCATATTTGACAGATGATCACAGACTTGCTCATGTTTGACTGATGATTGTAGACTTGCTCATGTTTGACTGATGATTGTAGACTTGTTCATGTTTGACTGATGATTGTAAACTTGCTCATGTTTGATTGAAGATTAGAGATGTTCATGATTGACTGATGATTGTAGACTTGTTTATGATTAACTGATGATTGTAGACGTGTTTATGATTAACTGATGATTGTAGACTTGTTTATGATTGACTGATGATTGTAGACTTGCTCATGTTTGACAGATGATTGTAGACTTGCTCATGTTTGACTGATAGCTGTAGATTTGATGACTATATACATATTTATGTTCAACTGATGACTGTAAACTTGTTCATGTTCAACGGATGATTGTTGACTTCTTCATGTTAACTAATGATTCTAAAAGTGTTTGTGTCTGAATGATTGTAGACAGGATCCTGACTGACTAATGATTTTAGTCATGACCATGATTAAATGATAACTGCAGACACTTCTATGACTGAATGATGATTGTAGACATTTTTAAGATTCATGATTGTTTGGAGTTTATTTTCTCCATCTCATGCCAGCCCTCCTGAGTCATTTTAGTCACTCCTTAGAATATGCATGGCAGGCTGCATTGTTTATCAAGGAAGGGGGGGGGGGGGGGGTGAGCCTCTTTTCCGACTAATGTCACAAAAGGCATATGCTGCTTAATCCATATTTGTTTAGGAACCAACAGTCTACACACAAATAAACCTTATCTGTAAAACAGATATGCAGGCAATAATAAAGTTCTAGAACAAAACCAGTCCAGAAGAAGAGGAATAGACCTACTGGGACCTGATGTGTGATGTAGTCAACATAAAGCCCGCTATCTTTACTTCCTAGGACAATACCTGATACCCATTTAGACCAGGTCGACCTAGGAGACAAGGTAGGTAGATGAGTGTGTAGGTGTGCGTGTGTGCGTGTGTGTGAAATTCACCTCAAAAAAGATATGAATCCTAGACCTTCATGTCAACAAGCTAGCTTCTAACCACTATGCCACCAAGGTTCCACTTCACATTTGTGCTGAGGCTTATCAAGACATTGGCAAGATTCAGCATATCACATACAGACTGGGGGAAATTAATCATAGGTTCATGTTTCCTTCCCAGATTTGAGGATTTTCATTTTCTGCACACTCCAGCTCTAGGCCCAAAGGGGAAAAGTATGTAAAAGAAAAGTGAACTCCACATTAGAGCTGTGAAATGTATATAGTTGAAAAAACATTTTTAAACCTATATACCTAAAAATTATACATGACCCAGTTACAGAAAAACTGTCAATTTATTGATGAATGATTTAAAAATTGACATTACAACACACCGGGCATACCTATATGTGCTCCATCTCCCACAGCAAGTGTCTTGAGGTAAAGATGTTAACTGTTTGCCGCAGCACACTGATTACAAACTCGTCGTTCTCTTACTCTGATACATCCCTCTTTGCCTGACCCACACCTAATTTATCATTCACACATTCTTACACATGTTGTTTTCATCTAACCTCGTATCTTCTACCAGCATTCATTCATAAATGGTCTTCAGAATGTCTTTTTTGTCCAGTGTGAGTGTTTCTGTCGCCAAAAAAATCTGCTCTTTTATCTCCTCGTACTCCTGCATATCCAAAACAGCATATCCATCTGAGTCCCTGCAATTTTGAGGTACTGAGGCTTGGTATTCACTCAGACCACTTTTGTCCATTCTGAACCTTCCTCAGTACCAACTGAGAAACAGTCACTATAATTCCTCTGGTTACTCTATTTAATACTATCCACTTTAGAGCTGCAGTGTCAGCCTCCATCTCCATGCTTATGCTTGAAGTAGTAGATTAAAAATAAGCACCTTTTTGTTCTATCATGATCTTTCCCTTCATTCCAGCTGAAAAAGCCCCAGCTAGATCTTTCATCCTGAGGAAAAGACCCATTGGTTCAACTGACTGGTTGAACCCTAAGGCATTCTTGTGTGCAATCTGAACAATGTCTCTCATTAAATTACTAAGATTTTGAATGTTAAAATTTGATAAAATTATATTCCTTTCAGTAGATATGTGTGTGTGTGTGTCTCTCTCTCTCTCTCTTTTTTTTTTTTTTTTTTCTTTTTTTTTTTTTCTAAATTATTTTAGTGCAATTACAGATTCAAACAAAAACTTACCATTACAAGACCCAAATGTGGATTCCGGTACTTCCAGGTATGATCTGTTTATGTCACTACAGTTTAATTTTATGACCACTCTGCTGACCTCTCTAGTTTGCCTCCACTGCTTCAATGCCCAGATGTCACAATCACACAGAATGGGGTTATTTTCCAGATTTCTGCAGAAATGCAGGCCAAATATTTGATAAATGCATCTTTCCAATAAAACATTGATGTTCATTCCTCTTCTACTTATTCTTCTATATGGAGGTATCCATAAGCAATTAAAGTGACTTTCTATCAAAATAAAAAATGCCAAAAAGGCATGTCCACCATTTGGCAAATGACAGAATTGATTTAAGAAAGAAAACCACCATGCTAGCTATTGAACCCACTCTAGTTCCTGTTATCAGCGAGACTTGCCCCAAATTTCAATACTTCTGTGATTAAATGTTAAAGTGGAGATGATCTACTTCATTGCACCAGGTTTTATCATCCAGTCTCTCTCTTTATCATCTAGTCTCTCTCCATAGAACAGCTAGCCAAGAGTATTGCACTAAGCACTAACTCCCTAACTCAAGTGATCCCCAGGATCTGCTAAATACCAACCTTGGCTCACAGTATGTGGTAATGCTCACAGATGCTAAATCAGTACTTGAAGCACTCCAGTATAGGAAACTACCAGAATTGCAAACACTGCTGACACAACTCAGCGTTCAGCGAAGAGTCGTAATGCAGTGGATACCGTCTCATTGTGGAGTGCCTGGAAATGAGAAAGCTGATCAACTGGCAGGGGAAGGTGCGACAAAAGAGCAGCCAGATGTACCAGTCACATACCACCAAAAGAAAAGAATCATTAAATCGATCAGGAAACCACCAGCCCCAGCACAAGACGACTATTTTATTATGGACAGACCAGAACAAGTCATTATCTTCCGCCTCAGAACAGGGCACAACCGATTACGTAACCACATGTACACAAAATTCAAGATAGGTGTATCAGCCATGTGCACCTGTGGAAATGTGCCCCAGACAGCAGAGCATGTACTCCAGGACTGCACCGATTTTGACACATTAAGGCAAACCTTTTGGCCAGAAAGAACAACAGTGGAACGTAAACTCTATGGACCACTGAATGAACTAACAACGACAGTGAAATTTATACAAGAGACAAAACTGCTGATATTGATAACTTATTTCAGGCGAACGAAAGAAGAAGAAGAAGAAGATCCCCAGGATCTCTATAAAAATGCACTTGTGAACTTAATGATGCATCCAAGAAATGAAACTGTGACCTTCAAGCATGAGGCAAACATCTTGACCCCTTTGCCAGGGAGACTACCAATTCACTGCTGTTGACAGTAAGCAGAAGTGCTGACTGGTCAATGCAGAGGCATAGCCACTTCTCTAACAAGAAATCATGTTTGGACTACAATTTTATGGTCATAAACAAACTTACACTGTTGCTGGCATTGTGCCGAAGGTAGCCATTGTGATAAATGAATACTTGTTGACTTTTGTGATCTTGTTGTCTTGTAAGTTTCTGGAACAGAGTGGCAGAAGTACATAAAGATAATGTTTCTAGAAATGAGGGGCAACAGATTATCTGTCTGGAATAGAGGATAAGGACAGTGTGTCTACAGATTGTTGTGTGTGTGCATTGAATAGAGTGACTATAGATTATATGTCTGCAAACGAGAACAGTGGAAACAGATCTTTGTCTAGAACAGAGTAGCAACAGATTGAGTTTGAATTTGAGTGGCAATGATAGATAATATGTCTGGAATAAAGTGAAAGTAGTTAAGTGACAATAGATTCTACATATCTGGATTAGAGTGACAATATGTTACATGTGTATGAATTATAGTGGCAATAGATTACATATATCTGGATTAAAGTGGCAATAAATTGAATGCCCTCAGTTCAGAGTTGTAAAAGTTTACATGGCTTCAGTTAAAGTAGTGAAAGATTACACCTGAGAAAGAGTGGCAATAAATTGCCCCTAGCAAGCAAGACATAGGTAGGCTGGGGATAGACACCATAACCTGGGAAGAATAAGAGGAAAACAATGGAAAGTAAAGCATGGGGTGAGTATATATATGAGTGGAGAAACATGGGAGGTAAACAGGAAGAACAACCTAGGAAGAGAAATCTGTGAGGAATGGGAAGAAAAACATGGGAGGAAAATGGGAGATAAAACTTGGGATGAAAAACAGGAGATAAAACATGTAAAGGTAAATATAAGAGAAAAAATATGGGAGGAAGAAGATAAGAGGTAAAATGTAGGAGAGATGAGAGAAAAAAACAAGGGGAGGAGAAACTGGGAGGAAAATTATGTGAAGAAAAACTTGGGAGGAAAAGCTTTCTAACAGCATCATAAGGAGTTTCTATATAAGCATCAGCTAAAATTCCTTCTTCTCTTCCTTTTTCTTCTTCTTCATCTTCCTTTTTTTTCCTTCTAATTTGTGTTCACCGGCCGTATAAACTCCAGCAGAAAGCCCTAGTTGTTCATCCACTTCTGGACTTTGTTCTTGATCAAGGACTTTGTTGATTCATACGTATATGTTTTGTAGATCTGACTTATCTGTGTGCAGTCTGTTGGTTCTTTATCTCTGAGGCAGATGCACTCTGACTTTTAGGGAAGCACTGACCCTATCTAGTTTGGCAAGGTTCTCTGTTGGGAATCTGCTTCCAGGATGAAAACGGAGAGGTGTAGAAAGGTCTGGTATGAGCCCCGATTCTGGTACACATATGTGGTTCTGCAACTCTACAACATTTAAACTTAGTGAATGGAGGCTACTTGAAAAAACATTGCAAAATAAATGCAACATTTTAGAGTTGCCGGCTTCCAGCTCATTAGGCCAGAATATAATGAAGTGCTTGAAGAAGGCAACTAATGATAGTGTAAATATTTCACAAGCTACTGAACATAAAATTGGTAAAACCACAAACACAAAAAGATGCTACTTTTAATGGCCTGTAAAGGATATGCAACTAATGCAACAGCAAAAAAATCACTACATGTCACATGTCATAAAACTAAAGAGGTATGGGGCCGTCACTGATTTCAGCTTGATATCTTAAGTCCCTATTTGGGTTAAAGGGTCCTATTGTGGAAAAACAAGAATAGACCCACTGCCTTTTCAGCAATCATGTCATAAGAGTTGACTAACTGGGGCTTCCTTCAAAGCCAGAGTGCATCTACCTTAGAGGCAAAGAACCAACAGTATGCATACAAATATGCCAAATCTGTTGAACGAATGTGCATGCAACATTCAAGTTCGGAAACAAGACTAAAGTCAAGAGATGGATGAATAACCAGAACATTTTTCAGCTAGTGAGTGCAAAGAAGAAAATTTCTTTAGTGTAAATTTTTCATCATCATCATCCTGTGGGGACAGTTATAAAGGACACGGAGCTCATAGTCTAATCCCCAACTGCATTCTATCTTGTGCAATGCTTTCAACATCCTGGATGGAATCTACTTCAGCAGCTTTGACCTCTTTCAACACTGTTCATCTTAGGGTTTCTCTTAGATACCTTTATTTCCTCAATCCATGTTTTTCCTATTTCAGTGCCACCTGCCAGGCAGTGGAGGTTGCACAGGCAAGGAAAAGGAGGCAGACTAGAAAGAATCACATTGCTAATTCCACACTAACTGTGGCTTCCATCTGTTGTCTGCACTGCTCAAGAACTTTCCTGGCTCATATTGGACTAATCAGCCACCTTCGTACTCATAATCATCGATCATTTCTACTTTGGATGAAAGTGGTCTTCATCACTCGTGATGGATGAACAACATTTTAGTGCCTGACTAGTGTGAACTTTTCCTCAGGATGTGTGCATTGACCACATGTACAAAGTAAGCAGACACCTGATGTCATGTTCAGGTTACAAGTAATTCATAAACTATGCAGGGCTTAGGAGTGACCTGTTGAGAAATGTTGCATGCTGAAAGAGTTAGATGTATATTCCCAATAAAATCACTGCCTAAATTATGAAATGTATTGCTTACAGAAGTTTCAGAGAAACTAAATGTTGAAATGTACGTCCAGATGGGTCCAAACTGGTAATCTCATTATTTTCCAGATTTCTGAAATAATCAGTTTAAATCAAATATTAAACCAGCTTTCACAAATATTATTGTTTATAAGTATGAATAAAAGTGCATGTGACAGTTGTAAATCTTTCTTACCATGTGATACATCATAAATTTGTTCACTTGTTACATACTCATTTTTTTTCCTTTTCTATATCATACACATGATACATTAACTCATTCTATCACAACTGTTAGTCTGTAGAGACTGTTTGGCTTCAGGGGGCCTCATTGCTGGGGGGCAACTAATAGACCCACGCTCCCCCCCCCCCCCTTCCCCACCTGACAAGTGTACAGTAAAAGGCAATTAATTAGAGTTTGTTGAAATCAGATGTGTTGGGAGTGAAAGGCACAGATATCGCAGCCTGGCTGTGTACCACAACAGTATATATAAACCAGATTTTTAAAGGGCAAACATGAAGAAGAAGAAGACGATGACGAAGATAAAGAAGCAGGAGGAGGAGGAGAAGATGGAAGAGGAGGAGGAGGCAATGACTGTTGTTTAATCCATCAGTGCAGTTTTTTTTCCATATCATCAGGTGGTTGTCACTGGAGCTTTGGAATTTGTGGTTTGTGTGACACTCTTGGCAGCCAGCTGCTATACTGGTGATTTAGTGACAGGGGATCAATGCCGGTGCAATAAAAGTTATATCTCTCATTTTAAACACCTTTTAAGTATATTTTACACATCCTCAAGATAAAAAAAATACTTACAAAGTCTCCAGTCTGTACAGATTACTAAATGCTTGTGGATCGATGAAATTAATACGATTGTGACCAAGACATCTGAATAATAGATTATAATATTTAATGTTATTTCAAAACATCTGTTATTTTGATTATAACATGTTATGTCATTACAAGAAATCTGTAAAACAGACTATAACATGAAACTCTCTCTCAAGGCATCTTTGAAAGAGAATGTAACATGTAATATTATTATAAGACATCTAGAAAATAGACCGTGATGTGAATGTTACTTCAAGACATCTAAAAAATAGACCGTGATGTGAATGTAACATCAGGACATCTATAAAATAGACCGTGATGTGAATGTTACTTCAAAACATCTATAAAATAGACTGTCATGTGAATGTTGTTTCAAGACATCTTTAAAATAGACTGTGATGTGAATGTTATTTCAAGACATCTATAAATTAGACTGTGATGTGAATGTTGCTTCAAGATATCTATAAAATAGACAGTGATGTGAATGTTACTTCAAGACATCTATAAAATAGACTGAGGTGAATGATACTTCAAGACATCTATAAAAAAAAAGACTGATGTGAATGTTACTTCAAGACATCTATAAAATAGACTGTGATGTGAGTGTTACTTCAAGACATCTATAAAAAAGACTGTGATGTGAATGTTACTTCAAGACATCTATGAAAAAGATTGTGATGTGAATGTTACTTCAAGACATCTATAAAATAGACTGATGTGAATGTTACTTCAAGACATCTATAAAATAGACTGTGATGTGAATGTTACTTAAAGACATATATAAAATAGACAGTGATGTGAATGTTACTTCAAGACATCTATAAAATAGACTGATGTGAATGATACTTCAAGACATCTATAAAAAAAAAGACTGATGTGAATGTTACTTCAAGACATCTATAAAATAGACTGATGTGAATGATACTTCAAGACATCTATAAAAAAAAAGACTGATGTGAATGTTACTTCAAGACATCTATAAAATAGACTGATGTGAATGATACTTCAAGACATCTATAAAAAAAAAGACTGATGTGAATGTTACTTCAAGACATCTATAAAATAGACTGTGATGTGAGTGTTACTTCAAGACATCTATAAAAAAGACTGTGATGTGAATGTTACTTCAAGACATCTATGAAAAAGATTGTGATGTGAATGTTACTTCAAGACATCTATAAAATAGACTGATGTGAATGTTACTTCAAGACATCTATAAAATAGACTGTGATGTGAATGTTACTTAAAGACATATATAAAACAGACTGTGATGTGAATGTTACTTCAAGACATTACTTAAAATAGGTACCAGGTAATGTCCTGGGAAGCCAAGATGGCTGGTGTGATGTTGACCACATCACCCATCAAGTGATGTTTGATGTACAAAAATATGTGTCAAGCATCATATATATGCCCAGTGTGCCACTGGCATACAAAGGGAACCTTTACTCTCTGTACAGTAGACTGTATAATGTAATAATATTTTGAAACACCTGTACTGTGGATTGTACTATGAAATTTAATATTAATTTAAGATACATCTAAGAAAGAATTGATACATATAATTATTTCAAGACATCTATAATTTGGAACTAATATGTGATGTTATTTCATGACATCTGTAAAACAGCTTGTAACATGTAACTTTATTTTCATGACATCTGTAAAACAAATTATTCTTCTTCTTTATATTCACCAGCTGTAGACTCCAGAAGAAAATTCTGGTTCTCTGAACACTACTGGACTTTCATCTTGTTCCAGAACTTGAGTTTTGTATGCACATCTGCTTTACAAATCTGGCTTATTTGTATGCAGAATTGTTGCTTTGTCTCTTAGGCAAAAGCACTCTGCCAGTGAAGGAAACACCTCTCATTGGTCAACTCTTACAACATGCTTCTTAGGGAGCGGTTGGTCTTTTCTGTTATCTCCCCTACAGTAAAGCTTCAGAACCCTTATGGGCTGTGAAATTGTTTTATATGTGCAATGTTATTCCAAGACTTCAATAAAAAAATTTTTTTTAAATTGTAATCAGGTAATGTTATTTAAAAAAAACTTTGTAAAATAAGAGTATTATATATATAAATTGATTTCAAGACAGTTCTATTTTAACGCTATTGTTTATAGTAACAAATTGAACAGAAACATTTTTTTTAAACACAGCTAGAATTACAACATTTAATTTATAACCGAGAAACTTTTAAATATACGTCATTTTACTACTAATCCAGCCATCTCCTCATGAAATGCAATTTTTCGTTATTTTAAGCCCCATCCTGGCTCTTGTCAGGTGCCGCAATGTAGCCCGACCGTAAATGTGGTCTAATGGTTGAACGCGGTTTCTGGAACCTCTCCACGGTGATCCTCATCCACATGGTGGCACTTTGTGTCATCGGGTGTTTATCGCTTGTGTGATGTCCTGGTGGGGTAAAAATCTACTCTTCTACTACAATATATGTCATTTTTCACAACCCGTGGTATTTCTGACAAATGTAAGAGGGTGCTTTAGGAACTCCAATCTGGAAAACTACCTGGTATACAAACACTACTCTCCAAACTAGGCAGCTGGTGTAAGGTAACTATGCAATGGATACCATCCCACTGTTTAGTTCCTGGAAATGAAAGAGCTGATAAACTAGCCAAGGAAAGTGTAAATGAAGAACAACCTGACGTACCAGTCTCTTATCAACAAAAGAAGAGAATAATCAAATCAATCCGAAAGCCACTAAAACCAGCACAAGACGATTACCATTTTATGGACAGATCAGAGCAAGTTATTATTCTACACCTTAGAACAGGACACAGTCAACTTTGCAGCCACATGTACACAATTTAAAATTGGTGAATCAGCCATGGTCACATAAGGACTGGCACCTGAGACAACAGATCATGTCCTCCAAGACTGTCCCCTATACAAAATATAAGGGCAAAACTTTTGGCCAAGAGAAACATCAGTGCAAGTCAAACTATACGGGTCGCTGAGTGAATTACAAAAGACAGTGAAGTTCATACTAAAGACAACATTGCAGATATGGATATCTATTTCAAGTGAACAAAAGAAGAACAACAACAACAACATTTAAAGTACTAGCTTTTACAAATACTTCAAGAAATGATTACAGCAAAACATTTTAAGTAATTAAAAGTAGGGATGTACCGAATAGTGATTTTCACTATTCGGCCGAATATGAATAACGGAACAAACTATTCGGCCGAATACGAATACGAACAGTGTATAAAATATATCTTTTAAAAAAAAACACATTCATAATGTCAAATGTACGCTGAATTTTTACTTCACATAAAGTAGCACAGAATAGTCATCTTCTTTAGCATTCTGTGCCCTTGAGGTTTACTGCTGCAGATATCACTCGTCTCCATTCATCTCTCTGGCTGACCTTCTCTTCACAATTTGTGACACCAGTTGTTTGCAAGTCTGGCTGGACATTATCTCTCGAACTTCTTTTTTGTCTGCCTCATGGTCTACGCCCATTCCTCTCTCAGGTGTATACAGTTTTTACTTCTCTGTCATCTGACATTCTTTCAATATGCCCTAACCATTTCAGTCTGTTAGCTCTCATGATGCCAGTGATCAATGGTGATTTAAACAGATTATGTGTTACGTTGTTGCTTCTCACTCTCCATTCCCCGCTGTTAGCATTTTTGATGGGTCCAAAGATTTGTCGTAAGACTGTTTTCGAAAACCTGTAAAAAGGCCTCATCTCTTTTATTTCTGCTTCATTTCAGAGCCATATAAAACAACTGGTCTTATCGTTTCATATATTTTTATTTTGGTGTTGCGAGACAGACACTTTGACTTTAGCAAATGTTGAAGGGCATAGTATACTTTATTTCTAGATTGTATTCTTGATTGTATTTATTCTCTCAGCATGTTGGAGCATTTGAAGTTTGCACCCAAGTACTTATATGTTTCCGTTCGTTTGATTTTCATATTATCGACTTGGTTGTGGCCGGAGTTTAGATTCTTTCCATGTCTAGTTAGTATTCGTACAGAATACTGAACATTTAAAAACATTTTATGTTTTGCATCCTTCAGTCTGTGTTAATTAATAACTAGAAATGAAATAATCCTAAGTATTATAACAAATAACTAAACTTAAAAATTGTCACTGACAGCTTAGTTAATGCATGAAAGCTGCATTAGCTTTCAACAAGACCATGTTGTCAGCATTAAGGCCGTGTATGCAGAAGGGGGTGTAAGGTAACTACTTTTCGTATTCGGCCCAAACGCAACTATTCGGCTGAATAACGTATAATCAAAAGGTCCACTATTCGGCTCCGAAGCGAATACGAAGCGAATTTTCAGTACAGCCCTAATTAAAACTAATATGTTTAAAGTAACTACAAAATATATGTAAAGTAACAATTGGAATAGAAACAGTTAAAACAATAACTAGGACAGAAATAGACTGAATAGACAGAAATATAGGCATAGAGACATGAGACAAATAAGACAAATACAAACTTACAGCGTTACCAGGAACTCCAACTCAAGAAAACTAGCATTCTCAAGTCTGGATATGGCATTGCCTGTCAAATCTCTGAAACGAAACAGAGTCCTTTATGTTTTTGTCTATTCATTGTCATTTCAAGATCGGCATATCATTTCTTGATATATCAGTTTCCCCCCTTTTAACCTCCCTCCCCCTTTTAACCTCCCTCCCCCTTTTAACCCCCCTCCACCCCCCCCCCCCCCATTTTCACCTCCATCTCATTTACTTTCACTATTCCCTATCACACCTCTCTCTCTCTCTCTCTCTCTCTCTCTCTCTCTCTCTCTCTCTCTCTCTCTCATTTCTGCGTGTTTGTCTCTGTGGGTGTCAGTATGTGTTTGTCTGCCTGTTTGTCTGTATTTGTGTGTGTGTGTGTGTGTTTGACTGCGTGTGTGTCTATGTGGCTGTATGTATGTGTCTGCATGTTTGTCTGCGTATGTGTGGTGTGTGTGTCAGTGTGTGAGCACGAATGTAAATATGTGTGCTGTGTGTTCCCCTGTGTGTGTTTATATGTAAGTGTCTGTGTGTGTGTCTGTATTTTTGTCTGAGTGTGTGTGTGTCTCTGTGGGAGTGTCCGTGTGTGCATGTGTGTGTCTCCATTTATGACTGTATGCGTGTATGCCTGTATTACGTATGAATGTATGTTAGTATCTATGTATGTTTGTGTGTACGTATGCCTGTGTGCATGTGTGTATGCATGTTTGTTTGTATGTATCTATGTATGTATGTATGTAATGTATGCATGTATGTTTGTGTGTGTATGTGAGTCGGTGAGCGTGTGTATGTGGGTGTATGTATGCACGCGCGGGTTTTTGCATGCACTTTACAACTCATGCTTTTGTGTTCCTTTATAATATTCATAATATGCATATCATCATATGATCATAACATGCTTTATTAGTAAAATACAACTGCTGTGCGAAAGATGGTTGACTGGAAGGGCCGAATGTAAGACGGGCCTGCGTGCCCAATTTGTGACCCTTTGAAAATAAAGTTCGTTCGTTCGTTCTCTCTCTCTCTCTCTCTCTCTCTCTCTCTCTGTCTCTCTCTCTCTCTCTCTCTCTGTCTCGTTTTTCTTTCTCTCTCTGAGTCACCATGGTGAAGTGATCAAGCAGTTTGCCTTGCACTCTGAAGTGAATGTCCTAGGGGATTATTGCATGAGCTGCAGTGTTTGTGCTTTGGGTAGTTAACAGTAGTAGTCAGAGTATCTTCCTAGAAAAAAGGTGCCAGTACTCACTACAAAATGTCTACAAAATGAGGTGCTGGTACTTACCACAAATTATCTGTCTCATAACTCAGATTTTATTTCAGGAAGACACGTTTAAGATCCTTAAGATCACCCCAATAACAAAAACAAAAACAAAAACAAAATTTTCCATTAAAGAAGTTCACAATTTTTAAACAATTATATCACTTGGTGCATAGCAGTATGGGTGACAGCTTTAGACATGCCTAGTACACTCAGAGGACAACATGAAGCCTCAATAGGACTGACCTATATCAGGACCCCACATCAGGAGGACAACCAGTCAAGGATATGGATCTCAAGGACAGATGACAGGACACAGTATTTCATGAAGACTACCACCACATAGGATATGAGGAGGAAGGAGAGCCCCAGTCATAAACAGCAGTCATGTCCAAGATACTGGAAGCACAGCCAGGAAGAATACCACCACTTAGGATATGAGGAGAAGCCCAGTCTTAACTAACAGTCATGCCCAGGACACTGAAAGCACAGCCAGGAAGACTACCACTAAACAGGATATAAGGAGGAGAAACCCAGTCATAAACAGCAGTTAAGTCCAAGACACTGGAAGCACAGCCAGAAAGATGGACACACAAAAGGAAACCACAACCAGAACCATAGGACCAAAAGAGAGCACCCAGACATGTTCAGGAATGACACCAAACACATTTAGAGACAGTAAGTCACAACTACTGGCACAACAAACCATTTGAGCCATTGAGCTTGACACAAATAAAACCAGACCATAATTATAATTGAAGCTGTCCTTAGCAGGGTTAAATGTGATCATATTTTTTTCATCAAAGCAACAACATAAAGTATTTATTACAACAGCATTGAAAAAAATTGTGCCTACACAAAGGTGTCGGTACTGTGTACCATTGCGTACTGACAGAAAAAAGCCCTGGTGTTAGTAGTAGTAGTAGTAGCAGTAGTGGTAGCAGCAGAAGTAGCAGCAGCAGCAACAGCAGCAGCAGCAGTAGTCGTAGGAGAAGGAGAAAGAGTTGCAACAGCAGCAGAAGTAGTGATAATATTAGAAATAAGTAGACAGCAGTAGAAATTGTTGTAACAGTTTCTTCTTTTTCTGTGTTCGACATCAGTCATGCTAAACACTGAGTACCGTCTGGACCTGTAACAGTAATTGTAGCAGTAGTAGTAGTAGTTGGGTCAGAAAAATGAGGAAAAACTAAGACTGAAACTAAATTAAGCTAGAAATATTTAAAAAGGCAGACTTACAAATGTGTAATTGTTTTGACTGTAACATCGGGTACCACTGTTAGATTAAGACTGGTACAGTAGAGCCCGGTAGTGTTGCAAGGACATGACTGCATCAAGCCAACACTACAATTCTGTATGGCGTTGGATGGTTCTGAATTTGATGAGCTTGCCTGATAGGTACGCTGTGCTAGTACAGCTGTGTTGTACCAGCTTATTTGAACGTACAACAGTAGCAATATGTGCCACTTTTGGCTTATAAAGTTTCTCAAATGTACATCCATAATGTAATCTAGTACCTCCATGATTTGTCACATCAAGCGATGCTCTGAGCTAATCATGTTAACCAACTGCGTTCCTTTTTTGTCTGAAATATTTTCACTTAAAGTTATCCAAGAGAAAGCAAGTGTGTTGTCTTTACTCTTTAACTATTTACTTTTTCTTCTGAAATGTCTTCAGTGTTATGCTCGTCGTTTATCAAATAACAGATGTGTCTTTACCATCAAAATTTGTTTTTGTTTCTTGATAAAGCTTTTACTACATTTCTTGTACTGGGTAGTCGCAACTTGAACAGTTTTCCTTACTGAACTTGACAGTTTGAAATATTTCAGTTGAAAGTCACTGAAGTAGCTGCTCTTTCGTATGAGCAGAAAATTTATAGTTGTTCAGAAGGTTTAAACATCGTAAAGACAATTATTCCAGTGCTGGACTCTCCACTGCATCTTTAAGGTGGCACCTAACTTTTCAGCTTGCATGATATATCTTGCTACTACACAGCTCTAGAAGTCCAGTTCCCCCTCCAAATTTGCAACTTATTGATATACTCTGAAAGTATAAATACAAAAACTGTTATGTTCATATAAACTTATGAAACATTGAATTAATTTACTCAACTATATCAGAATGGAAGCCGTAGTAGTGTAGTAGCTATATTTGTGCTTGCTGGCCCCAAGGACTTGGGTAGTTCTAAATTTAGCCTGGGAGCACCTGGTGTAGAGTGTTGGTCAGACTCCTTGCCAATCATCGCTGCACCCTTCTCTCAACGCCTGGATGATTTATTTATTTTGTGCTTAACTACAACTGTATAGTGTGTTCCAGAGCACCAAGGAAACTACAGCGCAGACAGATGACATCATCATCATGTGACATCAACAAGAATCACGTTGCCAGGGCAACAAAGGTGACAGGTGACACAAGGACACGAGCTGTGAATGCTCAAAACGCTTCACGTACTGAACCAGCACAGGGACCTGGACAATTCTACTGGTTCGACAGTGGGTATAGAGACAAGAAAGGCTACATTAGATATCTAGAAACGGTCAGCATTCCATATGAAACAAAAACAAAAAACTTACAACTGGTAGGTAGCATTTATGGAGAAGGGAACTAGAGACAAAAGTTTCGGAAATTAGCGATTGGGGAGGGAGGAGAGCACGTGGTCTATGCTCCACCGGGGAGGGGGGGGGGGGGGGGGTTAGGGGATAGAAGAAGACAGAATGTATCCAAGAATGTGCTTTTAGGCATTTGTAACATAGGGAAGTGGTGGGAGGGTAGCGTGCATTAGGCAAGCAATATTTAAACCAAAGGTGGAAGACCAGATGACAAACGTGCACCAGGATATAAATATTGAAAGTAAAGGCGACCGGCATGTTGTTAAGCTTTATAAATTCGACACATCAATGGCCTGAAAGAGGGTTACGACTTAGCTTCAAGGATTCCTTGACAATTTATTTAAATGTATTATTTGTTGTGCCCCAGTAAAGCTAGACAACGCAGAAACACACCAAACAGGCAAGAATGGTGCCCAGTGACATGTGTCCCCCCAAACCCCCCCCCCCCCCGGACCTTGGTTGCAGTCAGTAGTATTAACATGTTAAGGATGAGAATCAAAACGGGTACAAATCCTAGAAACCTTTTTAACTGTATAGCCTCCACATATAGCAAGTTATATTAGGGTATCATAAAACGGATACGAAGTAATCTGTAGCCCAGCGGGTGTGGGTAGGTTTTGATATCGGCGACACACTCAGTTACTATTTGTCTTGACACGGGTAACACAGGCAATAATAACGTACTTCAAAAGTTCAATAACTGTGCTTTTATGGGGAACAGCTCTGAAATTTCAATAAATCTCTCCAAAATTCCACATAAGCATGTCGTAAAAGTGTGTTAGGGGTGTTTTCTTGGAAAAATTAGTGCATCTACCCGCGAGTCTAGGGACTAACAGTTTGCATAACACAAAAGCAAGATCTGTCAAATGGATGTGCACGCCAAACTCAACTTCTGAAAAAACAAAAATCAAAGTCTAGAAGTGAACGAACAACCAGAATTTTCCGCTGAAGTTTAGAGCAGGTAAATGCTAAGTAGAAACAGCGACCTTCCAGTTAAACGTAAATGTATATTTACGTCCAGTTCTGTGGGTACCTGGCTGTGTAGACGGGCCGAAACAATCATACCCAACCACGTAGAACAAATCTGAGAACTCAGATAGCCATAATATCATAAATATCAGGGGCGTAGACACACATACACAACACTGGGAATGGATGTCTGAGCTTAAAGTGCCATGAAACCGGGAGGAGGTCAGTTCTTTGCAGATTTTCTATTAGGAGTGAGAAAGAACTTTATATTTAAAGGGTCACACAGGCTAGTCTTACCTTCGGCCTTTCCAAACACTCATCTGTACTGTCATATATCAACTGTATTTTCTAAAAGCATGTTATTTTTAAAGCAACAAACATAATATCTTTTCATTTCTTCTTTGTCCACCGGCTGTATTTTCCGACGGAAAGTCCTAGTTGTTCGTCCATTTGGACTTTGGCTTTGTGCTAGGACCTGACTTGTGCGTGTACATCCCGATTCATTGGCTTATTTGTGTGCAGCTGGTTGCTCCTTGTGGCCCGGGTATTCGCACTCCGACTTCAAAGGAAGCTCCCAATCAGTCAGCTCTTATGACATGCCAGTTGGAGAGGCAACGGGTCTTTTCTTGTTTTCCCCTACAATGGGAACCCGGAACCCACACAAGGACTTTACATATATAATAAAAATATGAAGTAAAAAGAGCGGACAAAAATGCCGGACTGAATTCTATCCATCCATCCATTATAAAAAAAAAAAAAAAAAACGACCACATTCAACCTACTGCGAGCAGTAACGATTATAATTTTGGTCTGGTTTCTTTGTGTCAATTAGGTTGGCTGAGAAAAACTAATTGCACCAAAACTAGTGGCTCGGACTAGTGACTCTAGCACTTAGTGAGGGTTGTTGGAGAGGGTGGCTGGTATGCAATATACAGACCCACACATACATAGAGACATAACTGTAGAATTACATTCATATATATAATAACGTATCCATGATTTACAAAGGATTGCACAGGATAGAATGGAATGGAGGACTAGACTGTGAGCCCGGTGTAACGTTGAAAGACACGACACGATAATGGAAACTACACAGCAACGGCTGCATGATTTGACATGACATTATGCGAATCAACACACGCTTGGGTAACATATGCTAAAACTCAACTCCCTTGAACAAAAGTGGGTATGTATTACATGTCATCACAGGTAGGCTTACAAAGCTTCTAAATCTGAAAGGTCGCTATGTCAAAACCCTCAAACCTGTCCTGGTTGCAGAAGTTTGACTCAGTAGATTACCCTACTCAAGTTATAAAATACTGTTTATAATTAAACAAAACGGAGACGGAGAAGAAAAACCATCGAGGGAAAAAAAAAAGGGGGGGGGGGAAGACATTTAATCAGGCTGCTAGCAGTTGGAGTTATATATACGTCCTTATTATTTCTCGAGTACTAAATATAACGCAGTGCGGCTAGAAAGCTTAACAGAAGGATTAGAAACACATAGCCGAGCGTTTAGAAGAAAGTCTTTATCGGTGAAGTACTAAATACAACCAAAATGTGATTAGAAAACGCAACGTTCCTTGTTATCCATTATTTTCATTACATTCAAAATCTGATCATGTGAAATTGAAGAGTAGCTATGACTGATGAGGCCGATGCGGGCCCGAAAAGTTCTTGGACAGTGAGGACAGGGAATGAGTGTTGTGCCAGGGAGGGGATAACATGAAGTCGCCTTTCTGTCCATCATTCTCCTAATCAGTCTTGCTGTTCTGTTTGCTTTACATGTAGCCGCGCCCTTGGGTAGAGTTGCACACCATGCATTTGGGTCTTGAGGGACAGCCTTCCAGTTGGTGTCATTCATCCCAAATGCTTTGAGTGAAGACTTCAAGGTGTTCTTAAAGAGTTTCTTTTGCTTGCATTGGGAACGTTTCCCATTTTACAGCTCACCATTAAAGGAGTATTTTTTTTTTTTTTTTTTGTAGCCTGTGATTTGGTATGCGTGCCACATGGCCAGCCCAACTAATCTGATACTGCATGAGTAGAGTGTGGATGCTGGGCATGGCTGCTTTCTCAAGGTTATCAGGTACTTTGTCCTGCCATATGACCTGCATTAGTTTTCTAAGGCAGACTGTGTGAAAGTGAAGAGTTATTGAAACCCATATGGGCATAGGGTAATAAGTGTATGCGGCGTTGGGCTGGCTGACTCTCCCATCATATGATTCCAGTTAGCATGGTTAGTCTGCTCTATCTGGCGTAGGTGCGCCGAACAGTCTCATAGATAGGTGCTGGAACGTGGAGCTCGGGACCCACCAGGCACAGCTTTCTCCAGAAAGAAGGCGTTGCTTAAGGGCACTCTCAGGTACAACTCACGTTGTCCTATGTTCTAGGGATGTTATGAGATGCCTTTCTTTCCCGTCGATTCATGCCGTGGCAAAAACTGGCTCGCTTTAGTTCGACGCTGGCGATTCACCGTCTTTTAGAAGAAACTGTGCAGCTTTCTTGTCGCAATTGTCTTTTCTGTGAATGAATGTTGTTTCTTGAATGTGCTATTGTTGTGATTAAGTCTTAGGCACCGAAGACGACTGTGTACAAGGAGAAAGTACTGCAGGGGGAGCGCCGAAGGCGCGACGCTTCTTGAGTATCGAATCGTTGATGTTGTTTTATTTTTAAGCTCATTGGTGCTGGCTGTCGTTGGTGGTGGATGTGCATGAAACGTTTAAAACGAGGACACATGACACCCTCAAACTTATAGGAGTTTCTTGAAAAGTCCCCAAAGAAATCGAGCAAACCCGCCCCCCCCCCCTTTTTTTTTTAATGCTTTATCTGGGGCACCGCTTGAGAAGCAGCAAACAGAGAATTACCAAAGCAAACAGAAATGAAGATGCACCAGAAAAAGCCTAAAACGAGCGTTCTGAGAGAGGCCAAAGATGCTGGACTCGGTT